GGTCAGCAACGCCGAGACCATCTTGGCGCAGGTCCGCGGCGAGTAAGCCATTTGTATCAATCGACATTCATGTGTCTTTGCACGACGCTCGATTCCGTTGCCCTTGACTCCAGTGAAGAGACCTGGAATGCATACTAGGCACACCGAGGTGCCTGCTTGGGCTGTACCAACTCTTGAGCACCATAGAGCCGACATGAGACATTGATAGTAATATCGAACTTAGTCAAGGAAACGATCAGAGAAGCGACCGGGGGTGTTGGCCCAGCGCGATTGCACGGATTTATTGACAAGGCCGCTTCTCGACGGTCTACAGTGTCGGGGTGAGAGTCGTGGGCAGTGGAAGCCTTCTGCGCTTCGATCGATGCACAGTCAACGTTCACTGACGCTCCATCGGAAAATCCAACAATCCTTGGGCGATTCAAGCGTTGGCGCCGTTTTCGAACAACGCGCGGTCGGTTAGATCGGTGCACAACTGTGTTGACCAATCACATGACTTGGCGCCACAACCGCGTCGTATGATTGGCTGCACAAATGATACATTCTTTCCAGCAGGAACGCTGTGGGGGGTCCTGCCATGCAACAGAATACATTCATCCATCAACAGAACCATGATTGCTGTCGGTGACAAGCTGCCAGACGTCACACTCCATGAGTACGTGCCGGTCGACGGCACGTGTGCTTTTGGGCCGGACGCATTCAACGCGCTGGAGGCCGCGACCGGCAAGACCATCGTCGTGTTTGGCTTGCCCGGCGCCTTCACGCCCACATGTACGTCCGAGCACGTCCCTAGCTACTTGGCGCATGCAAACGAGCTCAAGGCGGCGGGTGTCGATGAGATCTGGTGCACGAGCACGAACGATGCATTCGTGCTTGGCGCGTGGGGCAAGGAGCTCGGGACGACCGGCAAGATCCGCATGGTCGCGGACGGCGATGCCTCGTTCATGAAGGCCACGGGTCTCGAGCTCGATTTTACGGGCAAAGGCTTTGGTGTGCGCAGCGCCCGCTACTCGATGCTCGTCAAGAACGGCGTCGTGACGACACTCAACCTCGAAGATGGCGCGACGTACAAGGTGAGCGGTGCAGACACAATCCTTGCACAGCTCCGGGCCTAGTCTCTACTGCAAATAGCGCACTCCTAATACTGGCAGGTGCGAGCCTCGGTGCGTTCGTGAATACTGTAGTCTCTAGGGTGCATCTAGCCTTGGGCCGGCCGCGGTATTGGAGTGCGTTGTCGACGTGATCATTGCCGTTCGTACGTTGAATGCTGCTAAACGACACGCTATACCCGCAGTGGAGGGCCTGACGCACCCAAGAGGGCGGCGCCCGACAACGTAGTTACCGGATGCTGCACGCCTTTGCGCCTCAAGCGTTGGGCTATGTCTTTACTGGCGGACTTGCTTCTCTGCGTCATCTCGGATGCACTCTACCTCTCAGCTCTCGGTCTGCAGCTGTGCCTCGCTGGTTCGCGCCCATTGATAGAAGCCTTCAACGCTTCCCGTGTAGTGCCCTTGCCGGTCGTGCAGTGATTTCGTGCCGGCGACACGAGCCCTCGATCGCTCTGCCGCCGTAAAATAAGAGGACACCCAAGTGTTTCCGGCTCCATGAAGGTACGAAAAATGGGATCTTCGAATTTATGGACACTGAGTACAACGAAAGAGAACAAGCAGTTAAAGGGGTCTTTGGCCACTTGACACACGTGGAGCCTGGTATTCAAGAGCAGTGACGCAGTCCGAGGTGCCAACACTTGGCTGGTGCAACAAG